TTAGAATCAATGTGGAGCTATATTTGTGTGTCCCAACATTAACAAAGAAATGTCGTTGTTACAAAGCATTCCTTTGTTGGGTGCTGCAGGTCAGTGGGATTAGAGAAAATGGCAGGGCACATCGTGTGAGGATTATTTTATTCCTACTTGCTTCATATTTATGATTTCACACACTTAATCTTTGCTGTTTGACACAGGCTATTATTTAAATAGGTGTTGATGTTAACATTATCTTCATATAAATGGAGTGCCCATGACTTTCTTATCGGTTCATTCTCGTCAAACGTGTGCAGGTAACCATTGAAGCACATAGAAATACATAAACACAATTGTAATATGTTGAAGTTTATCAGTCCTTGGATGGCTGCATTAGTTTTATTTAATCAACATTTTTTTTGTATTTATTCACCTGGTGATTCTACCAGTAACACACTTCCTTTCCTAGCGTGACATTGTTTACCTTCCTGTATGAGCACAACAGAAACAGGGCAATGGAAAACCTTTTTTTTTCAATAACCAAGATTTACAGAGTCCCATAGTCCTCAGAACAATGTAGCTGGTAAGAATGCAGTACAGGCAGAACGCATAGGAAGTTTTTAGATGAAGAGATTTCTGGCAAGATCAACAGATATATTTTTGCACTTCTCAAACAGATATAACAAAATGCTTTCAATGATCTTCTTAACTGGCCAAAAGAAACAAAATAAGAGAAGTACATTGTTAGGGTTTACATACACTTTAACTTTCACACGCTGTGTTATCAGTAACATTGTCATTTAAAGGGTCTCTAAACCCTCACATTTTTTTTGCATATATCTACTGCTATCAAGCAGTGCAAAAAGTTAAAAAAACAAAAAAACGCTTTAAAAGCGGTTTAAACTTACCCCTGTCTTCGCCATGCGCTCCCTTCTGAAAATGTTCGGGTGGGCGCATGCGCAGTTCGGATTTGCGGCCGGGAGACGAGGAGAGACGGAAGGTAAGTCTATGGACATGTGCACCACCATGCAGACACCGTGGGACAGGAAGTGCCAGCAAGGACAGAGAAGTCAGCGCTGGATCGGAGACCCGGAGCAGCGCTGGAGAGAAAGAAGGAAAGAAGAAGAAGATCGGATTAAGGGACATCATTTAAGGTAAGTGCTTTAATTAACATTGGTGGGAGGGAAAATACAATAATACAGCTCGTACAGGAGCAGCAGCAGGCAGATAAGGTTGCATCTGGGGCTTCAACTAACGATTATTTTTTCGATTAACTGGATAAAAAAAATTAAATAAATATCATCCTTAATTTAAAATAAAATACACAAATGCTGTGTTAACAAACATAAAGTTAACTTCAGAATAAAACTGCCTGCAAATTTTTTTGCAATCACACTGCACTGGAAAGCAGGGCATTGCGGTACCGTGCGTTCCAGTGCGGGCGATCACACTATGGGTGAGAGGCGTGTTTGGGGTGCCATTGAAATTAATGGCACTGCAACGCACATCCCGCAGCAGAATTTGTCAGGCTGAAACCAAACCACTTTTTATAATTTTTTTGTTAATAATTGTATTGTAAGCACATAATACTTGAATAGCTTCAGCCAGGGAATGACAGCTGCCAGTGGCAAGATTCAGAAGACGGCAGCTGAATGTAAATACAGGAGGTAGTGGGGATGCTGCAATAGCCAGCCTGCTATTGGCCATTTCAAATTGCAATAGCCAATAGCAGGCTGGCTATTGCACCCTCCCAATGCTTGCGGTGCCCTCCTCCCAGCATGGAGGAGGGAGCCAGGGGATCCAACTAACTAATCGATAATGATAAAAGTGGACAACTATTCTCATTATTAATGATTAAGCGATTAGTTGGTTGCAGCCCAAGTTGCATCTATCCATTCTCTTCCCAGCACATGGGCATGCAGCAGAGACTGGCTCATAGTATTCATTCACACCTCCCTCTTCAAGTCTCAGTACTGCTGTTCAGCAAATTACAAAAGAATGACATTAGTACAGATTGAGCTACTCCTATTACTTGCATTTAAAATGCATTTAATGTTCTTTGTAATATATGCATACAGTAACTGCATGAAATAGTGTTTATAAGTCCATGAATTCCAAATATAATAATGTCAGCAGTCATGTTAACAAGCTGTAGTTGTACTAAAATTCTTGAAGTGTTGTGATTCCAGTGCTTTAGGTATTGAAGATTACAACAAGCAGAAGTGGATTTGTATTTTAGTCTATATTATGTTTTAGGCTACTTTGGGCTGACACACTAAATATTGTAAATACTTGTTTTAAGCACATTCACATTAACCTAAGGGCCAGTTCACACCATATGCAGTTGTGATGCAGTCCGTTTATGTTGACTGCTGCAGTCAAAATACATCACAATGCTTTCCTATGGGCTTTCTTGTGCTTAATTCACACAATTGCAGTCCGTTCAGATGCAGTCAGAAAAAGTACTGCTTGTCCTATTTTAACTGCATCTATGTGCACGAAACGCACTGAAACGCAACGGAACGCATACAAAAAAAGAAAAACATAATTGATTGTGGCATCATTCAGGGACATGCAGGGGAAAAAAATGCATCAAAACGGATCACAATGCAACTGCGCAGACGCACGCAGTTGTGATGCAGTTTCTGGTGTGAACTAACCCTGACAGATAAAAAAGAAAAGAGGCGATACTGCGTTTTCTGTTATCTTCGCGTGCTGCATTTAATGCACATTTCCCAGGCATTATTCCTAGCAGCATATTACCACTATTCCATCACTAGATGGCAGTATGTTCATTTGCAAACAGGTCAAGATTTGGAAAGGTTTAACTAATATGGTTTTTGCTGATTGCTGTAAATCTTAGGCCTCTAATTCCACTCTTAATGAATTCAGTGGCTAAAAATCTTATTTGTTTTATAGTAACATTAATAATTAGACAGTAGTTTTAAAGGCAAGCTGAAACATTTTATGTCTCCTGAACTATTTGTCATGTAAAGCTAATCTTTTACTACACCCTCCTTACATTGCCTCTCTTCATATACACATCATGGATTCACAAATCATTGTAAAAAGAGAAAACTTGATTTTCAGGGGCTTCTTTTAGTTCCCATCTTATTCATTTGATAAGAGGTCAGCAGCCAATATAACTTCCATTGGCACCGCTGGCCCTCTGCAATGTTTATCCCTTGGGCGTGTGGGTATGTGTGTATATATGTGTGTATATATATGTGTGTGTGTGTGTGTGTGTGTGTGTGTATGTATATATCTAGGTCTACACACTAGGTCTTATTTTCGGGGTAGGTCTTTTATATAATATAATTTTTTTATGTACAACAATCCAAAGTTAACACAAATCCAAATTAATGGCAAAGTTAAGAATATGGTGATCAGGGGTGGCGTACCTTTCCAAGATCAATTTGCTAACCAATCGCTGGCCAGAATGAGCAAAACGCACGTTCACGATCGATTCCCCACAGGCGGAGTGCATTTGGTATCACTCCGCCAGTGACAGGAGCCGGCGCTATAGAGGAGGCATCGGCTTATGCGGCTCTGCTCCCTCCGCTGCCGCCTCGCTTTCTCTAGCACTGGCTTCATTGGCTGAATTGACTGGATTCTGTCCCACGGCTCTTCAAGTTCCCCCTTATGCCACCACCAGCCCAGGGAATGGTCACAACTAGGTCTTATTTGCGGGGTAGGTCTTATGTTGTAGCGATTCCCAAAAATAGTACTAGGTCTTATTTTCGGGGTAGGTCTTATTTTCAGGGAAACGGTATCTAGATAGATAATATATATATTATCTATCTATCTCGATCGGTCGATCGATCTCACTCCAAGCTCACTATATGGACCATTTATGTATTTATACATATATTCCCTGTTGCTGCACTTTTATAGGGTTTTCTTTCTTTCCTTCTTGTATAACATTGCTGCTTTTCAAAGTCCTATCTATCTCAATCAATAGATAGACTTTGCACAGTCAAAAAATACAAGAAAAGCAGCAATGTTATACAAGTATACAAAAGTGCAGCAACAGGGAATATATGTATAATTACATAAATGGTCCATATAGTGAGCTTGGTGCCAAATGATTCACTCTAAAGTCACTGCAAAGTACAAGGGGGCACTCTTTGCGTCTGGAGGAAAAGAGGTTTAACCTTTGCATACGGAAAGGCTTCTTCACAGTTAGAGCTGTGAAAATTTGAAATACACTCCCCCAGGAGCTAGTTCTAGCTAGCTCAATTAACTGTTTAAAAAACATCTGGATGTATTCCTAATGGCACAGAATATTACTGGATATTGAGTTCCTATAAACTTAATGAGCACCAGAAATTGTTGATACAGGGAATATCCGATTGCCTTACGGGGTCAGGAAGGATTTTTCCCCCTGTTGGAGCAAATTGAACCATGCTTTATAGGGTTTTTTTGCCTTCCTCTGGATCAACTATGGGTAACTGTGGGCATAGCTTCTGTTTTAGGGTTGTTGTTATTTTTTCTTATCTTTATAGGTTGAATTCGATGGACTTGTGTTTTTTTTTTAACCCCACTAACAAAGTAATATAGCAATACATTTATATTATACTTTATAACATCAAGGTATAATACAAATCAAACACCCCAAACATTTAAAAGATTGTTAAAACCTCATATCTGATGGTTGTCTGTGGTAGGGAACATGTATATTCCTGCACTGACAATATACCCAAGTCTAAAGTGTAGTTCTAAAGATGTACACATAAGCAACTCCGATAAAGTTCAAAATGAGTATTAAAAAAATCCTAAAGTCATAACCCTGATAAATGCCAAATTCTTATTGTTCATATAGATGGAAGCACAAGTTCAAGATAGGCAAAGTAAAGTTAAAAATCAGTAAACTGTGCCTATCTGAAGGTCATGGAAGGTAGGCCAAATCAGCCATGTAAGAGTTTGGTAGCACAACAACATGACTGCAGCAGTACACATAATAGAACTTGCGGTGTGCAGTGTGGTATTAAGTCTTATGTTGTAAATACATTGTGTGCTTTCAGACAGAGGCATCAGATCTCCCATCTGCAGCTACGTTCTCATCAGTCAGCCAAAAGTCCAGTGATGAATGGAGAAGACGGCTACATCCATGGGGTTAAGGTGAATATTCAGCTGGTGTTTATCACGGCAGATCTGTATTTAGTGTTTTAGATTTACTTTTCTCGTAATTGTATTGACCATTAAACTGACAATAAAGTGAAATAATAGGACTACAATAGTTACATCTGATATTAGTGTTACAGCATAAACACATCTTAGGTTTATTTTACATCTGAGTACCTGTGTATCTACTTACTGCTTCTACATTAAAAGGTGTACCAAATTGTAATTTCAATTCCTTGTAAAACATATGCTTCCAGGATGGAGACTGTAGTAAAGTTGATAGTAGTGTCCTTGTACATGAGATAAAAGATTGCCATGCCAGTTTTCACCTACAGCATATTGAATAAAATCCTGACTTCCACAGTGCCAGTAAAAAAGGGGGCTCTGCCAAGCAACTAGTAGGTTGAATCAGTTTCATTGTAATGTTCATTATTCATTATTAATCTTTTTAAGAGCTCGACGTATGATAGCTGTAAACCTCTACAGAATTTGGTTTTGGACCGGTCAAATCCCTTCCTTAGAGGAGAATTGGAGGAAAAGCGGTTCTCTACAGAGGCAGGCTCCACACATCACTGCGAAGTTCCAAAACAGGGTGCAATTAAATCTGCTGATGACCTAAAGAAGCTGGAGGAAAAGGTATGTTAATTCTTTCATTACCCTTGATAAAGGAGCTCTGTCAGGAATGTTCTTATTAACCTCCAAAGCGGCTTCATCGCTAGGATACGTATTAGACCTGGGACTGTAAAGCTGATTTTCTGAAGCCACTTTTCTGGCACAGTAAGAACACGCAAGATATTTGATTACAGAATTTTCGTCTGACAGTCCAGATTTTAAACACTTTAACAACAGCTGCACTTGAGCATTTAACGAATTCTGCTTTTTTTTGCTGCTACTCGCTCCATGGCTGACGCCAACAATCATCCCACGTTCAAAGGCTGTTAAATCGCGTTGTTTACCCGTATCTTCAGAAAAAAATCACTTCTACTGTCGTGGTAAACAACCTGCTTCCCTATTTATCTCTGAACATAAAGATGACCCCCCAAGTGGGAGTTAATAGATACAGAGGTCAGTTATCTTCTGGTACAACAAGATCATTTTTTTATGTTGGATGCTCTTGGCTTTTGCAGTACCGTATATACTTGAGTATAAGCCGTCCCGAATATAAGCCAAAAAATAATATAAAATCGATATCGAAGGCTATTTCTCTGGGAATAATCACAACAGGTACCTTGACAGTTATCATAAGATTAAATTGGTACCTTTGAACTGAGATCTTGATTAAAGGAACTCTTACTACTATTCTGCTATAGAATTCTGATGAATAGCGTTGATTATCCAGGGGAAAAGATGACTTTTATAGCAAATCAGAAATCTTTATTTTGCTGCAGATGCCATTGTACTATAATGGTATAGATTTAGGCAGAAAGATTCACGTGGCCTCCATTAAGATAATCAACAATACCGTGTAGTGTACTAATGCAGGCTTTTGTTTTACACTTATCTGTGTAACATACAGCATCCTTTTAATAAAACAAAAGGTTACCTATATTTCCTGTTCAAATGCAATCCTTTGTACAAAACAAGTTGTAAGTAAGCTTAACCATAAAAATCATTCCTTTATGTGTTAGGGTGACACCGGCTTCCCTGAGGGGCGGAGTCTAAGTACCAGCCGGTGTTCACCAGAGCTCCTGATGGTGGAGATGGGCTTGGCTGCTTGCTGGTACCAGGTCGCGATCCGCAGGGTTGACCCGCCAAGGGATGGACGAGAACAGGAGGGCTCCAATGAGGAGACAGTAGTCAGATCCATGTAGAGTTCAAGGCAGGCGGTTATCAGAGGAGGATCAGGCAGTCCCAGGTCAGCAACGAGTATTCGGAGGATAAACGCAGGAGACGAGCAAAGTCGGGTCCAGGCAGAAGATCAGGGCGGGCAGCAAGCAAAGAAGGGTCAAGCGGTCCGGGTCAGCAACGAGAAAACAGCAGAAGTATAAGCTCTTTAGACAAACAGGAAGCTGGCAAAAAGACACAGCACCACTAGCTCCTTGCAGAGCTAGTGCTTAAATACCCTTCTGAGTCAGAGACGACACGCCCAGCCTCAGGGTACACTGGAAGTCCTTGTCTGGAATATTTTACTTTTACTAGCCATACTGGCCTGGACTCTGTGAGATCCATTAGTAGCGGATCTTCTGGAAATCCTGGCTGGGATTCTCAGAGGAGACCGGTAAACCCTGACAGGTACTCTGAGCTCACCAGAACATTATGTCTCAACTTATAGTCATGTATGTAGACCTGCTGGTTTACAGGAAAGATTTAGGCAAGCTTACAGCCACCTCTTGCTTGATAGCCCTTACCAGTGCAAGCTGTGGAATTGGCTTCCTGTTCTGAAGCAGTTTAGCCAGTACAATATTGGGGAACATGGAGTTGCCTTTTTAAAGAGGAACTCTGGTAATAAAGAAAAAAAAAACTCTTTAGATTTTAATGGCAGAGCTGTTTGAGCCATTTGTCACTTTTTTTTTTTCCATTTTTCTGCATGAAAATGTGTTTTAAGCAGAAGCCACATTCATTACTATGTTACTGTTTCAGATCTACAGTTGTGTGAAAAAGTGTTGGCCACCATCCTGATTTTTCATTGTTTTGCACGTTTATCACACTTTAATGTTTCAGATCATCAAACAAATTTAAATATTAGTCAAAGATAACACAAGTAAACACAACATGCAGTTTTTAAAGGAAGGTTTTTATTATTAAGGGAAAACAAAATCCAAACCCACATGGCCCTGTGTGAAAAAGTGTTTGCCACCCCCCCTGTTAAAACATAACCTAACTCTGGTTTATCACGCCTGAGTTCAATTTCTCTAGCCACACCCAGGCCTGATTACTGCCACACCTGTTCGCAATCAAGAAATCACTTAAATAACACTTGACTGACAAAGTGAAGTAGACCAAAAGATCCTCAAAAGCTACACATCATGCCGAGATCCAAAGAAATCCAGGAACAAATGAGAAAGAAAGTAATTGAGATCTATCAGTCTGGAAAAGGTTATAAAGCCATTTCTAAAGCTT